GGCGCGCCTCTGTGTCTTCACCGCACAAGGACGGCAGTGCTTTGTATTCCTGAGACAGGATGGATGGAGCAGGGAGAAGCTGGAGCCAGCAAGGCTGGCTGCGTTTCTATTAGATCAGCTCTGAACTGACAGGGACCTGGAGGGGAGGTGTCAGGGGGAAGGGAGGGTGGGTGGAGCAGGTCAGAGGGCACCGCGGCAGCACTGGGGACCGAAGCTGGACAGGGCTGGCCACCCACACACGGAAGATCCCAGGTGCCATGGTGTCCTGGGAAGGCCTAAGGGACAGGCCGGACGCGCTGGGAAGGAGGGAGTATCATGTTCGTGATCTTTAACCACTCGGAAAACGTGGGCACACTGATATGAAATACAGACCTTTGCATCTCCCAGTTATCCAAAATCACCCACATTATCTATCCTGCAGTGTCTAGGAGGCCGAGGATGGAAATGTCTCCTAACGCATTGTGAAATGCGTCCAAAAGGCCCCAGCCACCCTCCCTGCACCCCGTGCCTCCTGTGGTGACACCTTCGCCTCTGACAGCTCTGGAGGACTCAGTGCCTCCCCTCCTCATCTTGTCTCAAAAAGCGGAGGAGGCCACACTCAATCTTGCTGAGGAGCGAAGGAACTCAAAAGAGAGGAGGGTTGTGAATTCAAGACCACCCCGTGCTATTAGTGAGTTCCAGGCCGGTCCGGGCTACGCAGTGAGACCCTGCGTGAGGGGTGATAGCAGTAGAATGCTTGCTTGCCTAGCCATGTGTGGACCCTGAGTGAGCTTTATTTCAATTGCTGCGAGAATAAACAACCCCCACCACTCTGTCCCCTACAGACATCTTGAAGCTATCCACATTTGCAATTTCTTCCCCTCCCCCACTGCTTTGGACTGACTCCACTTAGGTGGCCTTCCCAGCCATCCCCAGAGACAGTCTCGTTCAGGTCCCATGGCTTCTGTGTCACGAGTGCATGACTGACGTTCCATGGACAGTGAGTGAGTCCCACATGCTGAGCTCAGGGCAGGGTAATCTTCCCTTGTTCAGGAGAGAAAAGAGGGCGGGCCACAGTCCAGAAGCCACCACCTAGAATAAATGTCTGTGAGACGTCAGAGGCAGCACAGACAGGCCAGGGACTCAGTGTGAGTGCCCCAGGCGGCTTCTGGAGACCTGAGGGCAGAAAAGAGCCCCATTTGGGTGCCGGCTGAATCACTTGTGTCCCGGAAGCCAGCCCTGTCTTCTTCACTCACAAAGGGGGTTGACACACCTGTATGCCTCCTTGGCATGCTGGGTAGTGGTAGAAATAACCGTCTCGGTGACGGCCAATGGGCTGTCCCACCCCCAGCTCTCGGTGGCATATGTGCCGCCAGACATCTTCATGAAGGTGTCCTCCGAGGAATTCCCAACACCCAAGCTGTTTCCCTTTGGAATGTTTTACCACACAGAAGAGGAGCGAGTGAGCTCCCCCACTTCTGCCTCCCTTCTGGAGGATTGGGCCTCTCCCGAACCTCACACTAAATCTCTTCTCAATCCCATCTGCTGCAAAACGCAGAGATCAGAGCAGAGAGGCGTGGTGGCTTGGAAAAGGCAGACCACAGCCATCTCTCCTTTCAAACAGGTCTCTGGGGAGACGATTAGCAAAGGCTAGGCTGCCGAGGAGTGACAGCCCCATGGGTCCCCAGATGTCTTCAGCAAGCTGACCATGCCTTGAACTGGTGTCCAGGCTGGGCAGTGGATATAAAGGGTAGCGCTGTTGCCGCTGCCACTGTTGCTAACACCCTGCAGTCACCAAATCTGATTGTGGCCTACCAGCCAGTGTGACACATGGAATTCATGGTAACGCTGCCACACGGCACAGTCTTGTGTGACATAGGAGATTCCACAGTCTCCCCAGCCAGGCCAGCCCCACGCTGTCAGACACTCCAGGAGCTCTGCTCAGCTGAACTTGACTGTGGACGTGGCGGGATCAGATAGGAATGGATACCGAGGAAGTACCTTCTAGGTGCCGGGAGCTACCTGAGGGCAGACAGCACCCCTGTCCCTACCAGCTCCCGTTCTCAAGCAGAGGTCAACCATGGCTGTCATTCATCCTTGAAAACTACCCACCTTATGTCTTGAGACAGGGTCTCTCTCAATGAGACAGGGATTCTCTCTGCTGAGACCGGGACTCTCTTTCCCTCTCTCTGCTGAAACAGGGTCTCTCTCTCTCTCTCTCTCTCTCTCTCTCTCTCTCTCTCTCTCTCTCTCTCTCTCTCTCTCTCTCTCTCTCTGTGTGTGTGTCTCTCTGTCTCTGTCTGTCTGTCTGTCTCTCTGTGTCTCTGTCTCTCTGTGTCTCTGTCTCTGTCTCTGTCTCTCTCTTTCTCTCTCTGAGATGTGGGACTCACTGATTAAGCTAGGCTGAGCTGGACGGCCAGTGAGCTCACAGATCCAAGTCTCTGCTCCCACCGCCCAGCACTGGGATCACAGCCATGTGGCCCTACGCCCAGTTCTTTTCCTTGGGTGCTGGAGATCTGAATGTGTCTCACACTTGCATAATGAACGCTCTACCCACAGAGCCATCTCCCCAGCCACACACACATGCATCTCTTGATGCCTCAACAATTGTCTTTCCAGATCAGGATGTTGTCACCCTTTTTTCTATGCCAAGAGGACACCAAAACTTGGGGAGGGACAGTGGGACAGGTTCTGGGGTCATGTAGTCACCATCAGATACAGGGACAGAAACAAGGTCATTTGTTTCCAAAGCCACTTGGTCCAAGGGATACCAACGCAAGAGCTCTCTAGGGCACGCGGGGAAGATAGTGATTGAGAACACACCAGGCTGGGCTGCTCTTCCTGAGTCTACAGCACACAGAAAAGCGACTATATCTGGCCTCAAATGAAGCCACTTCATAAGGAAACAACTTTGATCTGAGTGACTCCATGCTGTGTGTAAAAGCCAAGAAAGAATGACTATATCTAGACTACACAAATAGACAGCACCACTGACCAGCATGTCCTAGTCCTTAGACCGATAAATAACTCATTTCCTGTGAATCTATCCAATCATATAGGAAACGAATAATAATACCTATGGATCCATCCAATCATATCGGGGACACTGGATATAGGCACTCACTTAGCACAAGGATGGGACCTCCTCACCCAGACTGTAAAGGAAGAAATACCCCAACACTAAGACATGGTGAGCATGCTGACCCATCACCTGGTCACTCATAATTCTCATCCAGGAAAACTGCCACAGTAAAGGACCCCCACCTCTGTCCCCAGGGTGTAGCTTGAGCAATCTCCACTGCCTGTGACCACAGTCTACTTCAAACTTACACTCAACATTGCCTGCCAAGGGCTGGGGAGATGGCATGAGGACCCAAGTTCAAGGCCCAGCACCCACAGAAAGGAAGGGAGGAGGCCAAGTGTGGCAACATCTGTAACCCCAATGCTGAGGAGGCAGAGGCAGGAGGATCCCTGGGGCTCACTACCCAGCAAGCCTGCCCTAAACAGTGAGTTTCAGGTCTTAGGGAGAGGCCCTATCTCAAAAACCACGGTGGATGGCTTCTTCAGAACAGCATCAGAGGTTGATTTCTGCCCCCCCATGCATTCATGCACACACAGACACACATGCATGCATGCACTTAGATAAACATTCTCACACACATTCACACACGCACAAACTCATGAGCACATGTGAACACACACACACACACACACACACACACACACACAGAGTAACATTTTACGGCTCTGAACCCTGAGAAACTCTGTACCTGAGGTTTCTCTGAGGCCCGTGCTGAGACTTTTCCTTGGTCCTGGCATTTCCGTGTCAAGGACAGCCCTACTGAGCCCTGCTGACACCTCCTTTACCCTTCCAAGTCATTCTGTAACATGTGACCTGAGACTTAGTGATTAAGGCTGGGCTAAAAACCCATGTCCACCAAGTGGAATCAGGAGAAATTCTGCCCCACGTGTCTGTCATTTCTGAAGGCATCATGGCATCCATGGTGACACCATCTACAGCACCTGAAAGGGAGTCACAGTAGGGGACTGTCTAGCTCAGGTTGACCCGTGGGAATGCCTGTGAGGGGTTGTTCTTAGCTGGATTATTTGAGGTGAGAAGACCCACCCAGAAAGTGGACCACATCATTTCACGGGCTGAGGCCCAGACGTCGTGAAAAGGAGAGCAGGCCGGGCAGGGCGTGCAGGCCTCATTTCTCCTTGCTCTTGACCGAGATTGCTATGAGGAGCTCTCCACACTCCTGCTGTCTCAAGTTCCCCCAGTGATGGATTTTGACCTGACACTTTGAATCTGTCCCCCTAAAGGGGGGGGACAGAAGTCTTTTGCCCTCCTGTCCTTTTGTGAGTTTGTTGCTTGGGTTGTTGTTTCACTTTTGTTTCCAGACAGGGTCTCATGTAGCCCAGGCTGGCCCCCTGAACTCTCTATGTAGCCAAGGATGACTCTGAACTTCTGACCCTCCTGCCATCGCTCCCCAAGTCCTGAGATCACAGGTGTGCACCACCACACCTGGTTTCTGCAGTGCTTGCTAGGCAGGTGCCCTCCCCAAAAGGAGATTTTAAAACAACATAAGACGTTTAGAAAATCATTTTATAATGCCAAGAGCCTTGGGCAGAAATATGCAAACACATCGTCAACCAGAGGTGTACTCAGGGAAACGGGCACCATGTGACGCCCATCCCAACTGTCTTGAGGCATCCCTGTGGCAGAGCTAAGCGTCAACAGCAGAGCCACCATGCACTTGCATCTGTGTGACCTTGAGCAACCCACGACCTGCTCTGGCCCTCTCTTCTTCTTTGGCTATGTGAAAACAGTAGTACATACTGCTGAGGGACAGTTAGCGCATGTCACAAGATTAAAACACAGCCCAGTACAAAATGAGCACACAGTGTTTTCTTGTGGTTGCCTTGACAAGTGCCTGGTAACATCAATATCTTATTATGAGGTTGCAATGTGATGTTGAATCATATTTGATTGTCTTGTCAGCTCACCATAAGCTGGGGTTTTCTTTTTTTGGTCCCCACCAGGCTGGATGAAGAGTCCTCTTACTCCAGTTTCATAATTAATAATGGCCGTGGATGCTGCTATATCTGTTACCATCTTGGCATCAGAATAGTTACAATGACACTCGGAAGTCGCTCACAAGGTCTGGTTTGTTACCCTGCTTTGTAGAAGGGGAGGGGGAGGAAGAGATCCCAGCCACGCATTCCTGAGTCCCACACCAGCATCACAGCATCCTGCCTACTCACGGTTTCTGGGGGTCCTAGAAGTGGAAGATTGACTGGATGGGGGGCAGGCGATGACCCCATCTGTGAAGTTTTGGGAAGGTCTTCACCCATGCTGACATTAGACTTTTCAGTGGTACAGCTGTTGGGGAATTCTGTAGTCACCGCCCCTGCCCCAAACCCACTGGACCTGAGTGGAACCATCTCTGGATCTGTGACAGGTGCCCCATCTGGGAGAAGTGGATACCCATGTCTCCTCAGAAACAGTCACGCAATAGCTGTGTTCCCAGCAATGGCAGCCAGCCTTTGCTGACACAGCTGAGCTCCATGAACATCTCCTTCTCACCCCAAGATGGATGCCTGCTCTCTCCCTCTCCCCTGGAAGTTTTACTCCTGCCCTCTTAAGGCTGCATGGTGGCAGATTTACACTGATTGAAGTCATTTGGAATGTCACAGTTTGTTACACAGCAATATGTAACCACTACAGCAGGTTGTAACCAAATGTCTGACCCTTGGGTAAATGAGGCAAGAGAATAAAAAAGAAAATATATGTGGCAGTGGGTGCGTGGGAAATGTTTAAAAACTGGCTTCTGGGGAAGTTCCTCTGCCTTCCCCACACCCTCAGCTCCTCCACAGGTACCCCAATGCCCAGGCCTCCAGGCTTCCTGGTCACACCTCCCTGAGTGCCTTCCAAGATTTACAGGGTTATTTTTTGATATTGTTTTGATTTTTAGCACATGACCGTAGCTGGGTGTATCCAGAACGCCACTAATCTGCCACATGGGGACCCAGAAGAACATCTAAGTCAGACCCGTTATAGTCTGGCCATATATTCTCAGAATGTACCAGCCGCCGTAGGGAACACAATGCCTGCTGTGCCTCAGTTCAGGAGATGGTGTGAGTCCTGTACTTCCTTATCTCTGTGGGGGTTTGAATGAGGTGTCCCCCACAGTCTCGGGTGTTGGAACACTCAGTCCCCAGTTGGTGGCGCTGTTTGGGCAAGTTTAGGAGGAAGTACGTCACTGGGGGCGGGCTTTGGAGTTTCAAAGCCACAGTCATTCCCAGTTTTCTCCCTCTGCCTCCTGCTTGCAGTTCAAGATGTGAGCTCTCAGCTGTCTCCTGCTGCCTGTGTCCTGCTGCCTGTGTCCTGCTGCCTGTTTCCTGCTGCCTGATTCCTGCTCCCTGTTTCCTGCTGTCTCCTGCTGCCTGTTTCCTGCTCCCTGTTTCCTGCTGTCTCCTGCTGCCTGTTTCCTGCTCCCTGTTTCCTGCTGTCTCCTGCTGCCTGTTTCCTGCTCCCTGTTTCCTGCTCCCTGTTTCCTGTTCCCTGCTTCCTGCTGCCTGTCTCCTGCTTCCTGTCTCCTGCTCCCTGTTCCCTGCTGCCTGTTTCCTGCTCCCTGTCTCCTGCTCCCTGTTTCCTGCTGCCTGTCTCCTGCTGCCTGTCTCCTGCTGCCTGTCTCCTGCTGCCTGTGTTCCTGCTTCCTGTTTCCTGCTCCCTGTTTCCTGCTGTCTCCTGCTGCCTGTCTCCTGCTGCCTGTCTCCTGCTGCCTGTCTCCTGCTGCCTCACACCTCCCCGTTATGGTGGGCTGCAGTTTCTCTGGAACCACCGCCAGATCATCCCTTCCTTCCGTGAGTCACTTTAGTCACAGAGTCCTGTCACAGCAACAGAGAAGTGATTAATCCTCCCTCCCTCCAGTCATTGTACCCGAGCCCTACTGTGGCTCTTCCTCAGGTTTTAGGGGGTGTTTTATAAACTGTGACATTTCTTGAGAACCTACTGTGTGTCCAGATCTGCTCTGGGTGTGTCATCTCTCTTCAAGTATTGACTCTTACGCAGCAGCCCCATGGGGAGTGATTTGATTTTGAGACTGAGTCTCAAGTAGCACAGGCTAACCCTTGCATGGGCTGAATGAAAAAGGCCTTGACTTCTGGGTCTCCTGCCTCCACCTCCTAAGCGCTGGGATTAAAGTCACGTCCCACTTTATCCAGTTCTATGTGGTGCTGGGGCTCGAACCCAGGGCTTTGTGCATGCCAGGCAAATGCTTTACCAAAGGAACTACACCCCAACCTAGTAAAGCTGTCTTTGTTTAAAGGTGAGACGCTCACCCTGACTGAACGTGATAGAGTGAAGCCACGCCCTTCGTGCTCCGAGTGAAAAATGCTTGTTTGTGGAATAGCCAGCATTCACTTCGTTCTGCTAGGATGGCACTTCTCCTGGTTGGTGGAAGCTTCTCAGTTTCCCTCCCTGTCTTCCGAGCATTAGCACATTCTCTCATTAGCACCGTTTAATAAGCATGCTATCAGTTCCTTCACGCTGCCAGCAAGGGTATGAAATGGGAGCATCCCCAACAGCCACTACTGTCCGGCTGAGATTCTGAGTCTCCTGACCATCTCTGCACTATTTATTGACCGCTGGCTATGCCCGCGTCAGGAGGCATCAGGAGTTGCCTCTGGTTACGAGAACCTCACTGTCTGATTGAGCAGTGCATGCTACGTAGGGCCACTCTTGCCCTCAGGGTCAATGCAGATGACAAGGGAAATCTACTCTGGGAAACGCGATCTACCCAGCGGACGTCTAAGTATCCAGTCAGTCCACGGTGCTGCCCCTGGCTGATGGGACGTGAGACAACCGTGTTTCACGAGCGTTTGGAAAGCGGGAAAAGTCACCAAACGCCGCCAAGACTCCCGTGTCATCTGCAGTTTGTCTTCCAGCATCCCCTACGATATCACACGTCCATCAAATGGTTAAACTCCTGGGGCAAACATAATAGCGGAAGGAGATAATCAAGTTACATTAAGCGAGTAAAATTACCTTCTCAAGCATGACCTATTCGACAACTCAGTTACTCGAAAGCTGTGTGGGAGGTAGGCTTGGTAAGGCACTCGGGTGACCTACTCAGGGTGTCACCTATATAGAAATTCAGTAAGGTGGGCACTAAGATGCCATTTCCTGGACAGTTTCCCCAAAGCAAGTGGACGTGTGGCACACACTCCATCCACAGTTATTCTCAGGAGAGACAGGAATGTCTCCGTAGGACCCCCTCTTTGGCCCCTGTCCCTCCCTGCTTTCCTCCCTCTTTTCTGTCCCTCCCTCTTCCCTCCTGTAATCTGAGATAAAGTGAAGAGATCATTTGAAGTGAAATATCTTGCCTCTTTTCTGCATTTGTAATTCTGTGAATTCCACTCTGAAAATTGTGACAGTTTTTCTCCAGTCCTGTTTAGCTTTGCCTTGAGAAGGGTTTACATTTAATATTAAAGGTAATAAAGGTTTTACCAATTAGGGAGAAGGGGTTTCTTGCATTTGCGATTTTTCTTCCAACTTGATTCTGTCAGGTCTCACAGGCGGTCCAAATATCCAGAAATGAGCTCAGCCTGGACTATAGGAGGATTTTTGACAGTTGGGTAAAAACCAGCATGCCTCAGGAACTTGTGAAACTGGTTCCTGTTGTGGAATAATGGTTACATTTGCTTATGCTGTGGAACATTTGTTATATGATGCAAAGATGTGCTGCATTCTTTTATGCTGCATTTGTTTAACTCTGTAAAGCTGTGATTCTTTGCCGGCCTGAAACACCTGATTGGTCTAATAAGGAGCTGAATGGCCAAGAGCTAGGCAGGAGAGAGGATAGGCGGGGTTGGCAGGAGAGAGGATAGGCGGGGTTGGCAGGAGAGAGGGTAACTAGAAAGAGAAGAGGGGGAGTCAAGGAAAGGAGGAGACGACACCAGGGGCCATCCACACAGCCAGCCACGGAGTAAGAAGGAAAGAAAGATACATAGACTAAAGAAAGGTAAAAAGCCCAGAGGCAAAACATAGTTAAAGAGAAACTGGATAGTTTAAGTTAGAAAAGCTGTCTAGAAAAAAAAAGCCAAGCTAAGGTCAGGCATTCACAAGTAAGAGCAAGTCTCCATGTACTTATTTGGGAGCTGGTGATGGGCTCCCAAAGAGGTTTAAAAAAAAAAACTACAGGCTCCCACTCGCCAAAGGCATCATTTCCCTCACCTCTGGCAAGAAGGGCCATGTGGCTCCACTGATGTATATCTGGGTGTCTATTGGCATATCAAAGCCTATGCTGGCCTCAGACTCCCTCAGTAACACAGGTACCTGCTATACATTTCAAAGTCCATGCTAGCGCCCTACCCTCTCACCTCCTCTCTACGTATCTATCTGTCTGTCTGTCTATCCATCCATCCATCCATCATCTATCCTCTCTCTATCACCTATCATCCATCTATCTACCTGCCTATCCCTCTCTTACTCTGACCCTCTCTTACTCTTATTCTCTCTTGCCGTCTCGCCATCTCCACCATTCTCTCCTCTCCCGCTTCCCTGGCTGTGCCCACTCTGCTGGTCTGCAGGCCATGTTCTGTGTCCTTCTTTCTCTCTCTGCTCTCAGTTCCTCCAGACACCTCTGGCTGTTCTCTCTCACATCTACAGCAAAGGCCTTAACCATATCATGGAGTGGGCATGTCGGCAGTTTCTTTACCATGCCCCCTCACAGAAGCTGCAGTCACCTTCCCAAACCTGTGGTCACCCCAAATTCCAGGCAGAGCAAGAGCTTGAGACAGATGCCCCAAGCTAGAGCAATCACCTGCTGGGAACCACTTTGTCCCCTCAAACAATAAGAAATTCTTTGCACTACCTTACTGAACAAATACTAAGATAATGGTTAACCTAGACCACATTGACCTGGACAATTCAGATGGCGCCCTCGGTCAGAGTGGGCAAAGGGGAAAAGTTTGAGTTCTTGCATCTCTCAGAGATCAGCTAACCACCAGTCAGCTTTGTCACCACACCTCACCCAAGTCCTCTGGGCAAGTCTTCCGGTAACTGCCTTCTCCATCCGGCCCAGCTCCTTGCACATCCCCAGAGCTCCCGGCCTCGGCAAGGACAGCATCCCGTGTGAGACTCCCCGGGCTGACTGCTTTCAGAGCTCCTCCTCTCTGAGCCTTCTGCTCCCACACACTGCTGTGGAAGCCACTGCATGTGTCCTCTGGGGACATGGGGATCTTCCTGCACATGTGCCTGAGAGATCCTGTAAACTGTGTGATGGCCTTGGCCAGATTCCTCGAGGTTCCCAGAGGACCCCGTGGATCATGTGTCCTCAGCCCTTCTGCGACTTTACTGGCATTGACTCCAGCTGGAGAGCAAATAAGCAGCTACTTGTGACTTAGCGGAAAAGGCTTTTAAAGTGCCCCCAATCTCTTCACCCACAGACCCACTCCCTTCCAGATGCCCAGTGACTGTAAAATGCATTTTTAATGGACAAATGTTTACATCTCTTTCAAAAATCAGCTCTATAACCAATTAGTATAATGACACATAATATTGTAAAGGACTTTTAACTATAGTAGATAAAACTCGAAATCAGTGACAGAGCTTTCTGAAAGAGTAAAGAAAGCTAGATGACCTTGTCATCTAGAGGAGATGACATCACAGTCATCTGTGGAGGGCCAGGACTACATGCAGGTGCTCCTCCCCTGCTCCAGGACTGTGAATGACCCCGCACTCAGAAGAGATGACTCTGCTTTTACCATGAAAACGATGGGGGTGAAGCTGGGTGGTGGTGGTGCACGTCTTTAATCCCAGCACTCAGGAGGCAGAGAAAGAGTCAGGCAGAGCTCTGTGAGTTTGAGGCCAGCCTGGTCTGCAGAGAGAGTTCTAGGACAGCCAGGGCTACACAGAGAAACCCTGTCCCCCCCCAGAAAAAAACAAAATAAGGATGATATTGTAAGAACAAAGCAATTGTAAAGAGAGAGACTCATGTTAACCACCAGAGGCTCAAACAATGCTCCTCAAGAAACTGGAATTTCCCTGGGGTCCCGTGGGAGCATGGTGTCACCACAGGGAGCGCTTGTCTCCAGGAAGAGACTTCACACTGCTCAGGATGCTCAGGCCACGTTGGACACTGGAACCTGCTGATCACCTGGCAGGTGGCTTCCCACAAGTCTCCATTTCTAATTCTGTGCAGTAACTACTTCAGACGTGGGGATGCCACATGTCACAATCTACTGGCAGCTAGACCTGGAGGGTGAGTGAGGTCTGACTCACCCAAGTCAGCACTGACCAGGGCTGCAGCTCTCACCCACGCTTCTCCCAAGCCAAAGACCACTCGCTTAATTTACTGAATTTAAACCTAGCCTTACCCTGAGTAACGATGTCCACAAAACTCCCAGGTTGTTTGTTGATTTGTGTGGCGAGGTGGGAGGGGGGAGTTGTGGGGTACACACGGCACAGCACGTGTGTGGAGGTCAGAGGCCAACTTCCAGGAGTCTTCTCTCTGCTGTTACCTTGTCAGTTTTGGAGACGAAACTCAGGTTATCAGGTCCGGGGCAAACACCTTCACCCAGTGCACCTCACCAGCCCAAGTTTACTTTCTTAGTGATACGTAAAACAAGCCAATCATGTTTTTAGAGTCATAAGGGATGGAGACATGGCTCAGCAAGTATGCACTTGCTGTGCAAGGCTGGGGCCAGCAGCCGGCATCCCTGGCAGTGCCAGGTAAATGTGGCAGCTGGCCTGGTGTCCCAACCCTTGGGAAGGACACACTCAGCATCAGGCTCCAACACACACACACACACACATGCACGCACACACATACATGCACATATGCACGCACACACACATACACACGTACACATGAACACACATGCATGCATGCACATACCCACATGAATGCATGCACATGCACACACGCATACACATACCTGTACACACTCACACGTGCACTCTGCACACACACAGGAATGCACCCACATGCACATACATATGCACACACATGCATTCACACACATGAGTGCACACACAGGTACATGTGCTTACACACACACACATGCCTGCATGCACAGGCCCACACATACAAACACATACATATATCTCTCCCACACATACATATGCGAAAGCGAAAATTAATAATAATATTTTAAGTCTGCCATTTAAAATCATCTTGTGAACCTGCTCTACCCACATTATTGTCTAGAATTTCTGTGTCCCTTCCAATCATCGAGACACCACAGGCTACCATGAGGAGTCCTAGAGACCTCACAGAGATTCCGCTGTCCAGCAGCCCCGAGAAGCCATAAAGCCCAGACAGCTAAGCCCAGGCGAGTGAGGCCTGGGGTCGGCCCTGCTGTTTTCTTGTGGAGGATTCTGTGGCCTCAGCACACATGTCGCCAAGGCCTAAGATGGCTTTCTGCAGGGTGCTGGGTGTGCACACATGTCGCCAGGGCCTAAGATGGCTTTCTGCAGGGTGCTGGGTGTGCACACATGTCGAGAGGCTTACATGTCCACCAGTACACCAAATCATGGGTCTCCACACCGTCAGAGGCCGCCCCCGCCTCACGTCAAAGGTGAGAAATGGAGTCCGGGAAGATGCTGGAATGCAAGCATAACTGATGCCACTCCTGCACGCGTTCCCAACCAGCCTGCCAGCCCTCGGCTGTGTGCTCTTCTTAGTCATAGATTCTAAACCGCAGAGCCTGGCTGTTAGAAATAAAAGCTGCATGTACCAGCTTCCCTTGAAGCTGGAGTGGCCATATGGCTAAGCTCTGACCAACTGCAATGTCAACAGAATTGTGGGCAACTTGTCCTGTGGGAACTTCAAGTGTGAGAGGGATCCTCCAAGAAAGTGCACATATCTAACTCTGCCCTCTCATCTTCCTGCTGCCTGGGATGCAGCCTTGATGGCAGGAGCTGCGACAGTCCTTTTGGGCAAAAAAGGTGACAGTCCTGGTTGTCAACTTGATATAAACTAGAGTCACTTGGGGAGAAGAAACCTCAGTTGAGGAATTGCCTCCTCAGATTGGGCCATGGAAAGCCCATGGGGGCATTTTCTTGATTAACGGTGGATGTGGGGGGCCCAGCTCTCTATGGGTGGGGTCACCCTGGGCATGTGGTCCTGGAGAATACAAGAAAGCAGGCTGAGCAAGCCTTGAGCGAGCCAGTAAGCAGCTCTCCATGGCCTCTGCATCAGTTCAGTGGGAGCTCCTGCCCTGCCCTCCCTCGGTGCCGGGGTGTGACATGGAAATGTAAGATGAAATTAACCCTCTCCTCCCCATGTTGCCTTTGGTATGGTCTTCATCACAGCACTAGAAACCCCAAGTACGATTTTAAAAAGGAAGCCATGTAGGATGAAATGATAGATTAGGCGTGTCCCGGGTCTCTGGGGACATCACGAAGCAGTATCACATGACCAGCCCTGCATTGCCTCTCTTTGGACTACTACAGGAGAAATGGCCTCTGCCTGACCAAAGCTGCTTCCTTGGGTCTATTAGTCACAGCCTGGGGTTTTTTTTTTTTTATTTTATGATTACTACAAAGTCACAACCCCATCTTACAAGACAAGCCCTGTTTTCTTGGAAGCAGGACACCTGGCTCTTGGTGGCTCTCTGGGAGTTGAGAGACAGCTGGGTTGGAGTTTACAGGTGGCACTTTGTAAACACCTAGTCTCCAGGTGAGCCTGTCCCTGCATCTGCAGTACCCGCTACCCACGAGCCATCTGGCTCCTCTGACAGCATCAATTAACAGTGTGCTTCCTGCAAGCCAGATCCTCCCCAAGAATTACAAAACAAAATAGAAACAGCCCTCTCAAGTGCAGGGCACTGGTGGGTGCCAGATCAAAGCCAGCCAGGCTGGCAGACGGTGGGCTGCTTGCTCCCCGAGTGTGCCTAAGAATTTGGGAACCAATAGCGATGGTAAAGCATGGGAGTTGAAAACAAGCCCAAGCCAGGCAGTGCCCACCCGGGGAAGGGAGAGGGAGAGGGGACAGCTACTGGAAGGGACACACTGGGCAAGCAGGGACAGCAGCAGCTGAGAACTGACATTTCTGGAGCCATCTCCATCCAACATTGACAGGCATCGCGACACCGGCCCAGTGACAGAATCTCGCTGCAGCATCTCCTCGTTCTCACTCTGCAAAAACTGAAGTCCTTCTGGAAGCGCCACTCTCAGCTCTGACCCCACCTGACCTCTTCCTGGGTGTCTCTTTAAAGATCATCTTTAATCTTATTTACGTGAGTGGCTGTCACACCTGCATATGCACTGCGTGTGTGCAGTGCCCTGGTAGGCCAGAAGAGGGCATCAGGTTCTCTAAGAACTGGAGTCACATATGGTTGTGAATCACCAGGTAGGTGTTGAGAAGGGAACCGGGGGCCTCTCTGCAAGAGCAGCCAGTGCTCTTAGCCACCGAGACACCTCTCCAACCCCATTCCCAGGCAGCTTCTGAGGGCTCTGCCAATGCACAACACTGACCATTGATCCTAACTGCCCTCTCTGTTAGCACCAATAGGGAGCAAGGCACAGTTGGCTCAGAAAAGGGAACAGCAATGGATTGCGAGTCAGTATCCAGACCTCCATTTATTGCTTCTGATTTTGTTTCTGATTTGGCAGGTAATACACTTGTCTGCGATTGGGTGGCTGCCATTTATGGAGTTTTGTCTGAGTATGCCAGGTCCTCACTTAAGCCTTTCAAAACCTCTTAACTCTGTGTCACCAAGAAGGAAATGAAGGTGTCCCTGTGAGGAATATATATATATATATATATTCAGAAGTAGCCCCCCTGGCCGAGGAGAAGCCAGGAGTAGCAGCCCTGGCAGAAGAGGGGATAGTCTAAAGAAAGAGAGGTGAGCCTGCCTCCTGGAAAGAGGCTGTTGCCCCCTGCCTCCCAGAGAGAGGCTGTTGCCCCATGCCTCCCGGAAAGAGGCTGTTGCCCCCTGACCTCATGAACAAGCACAGACTCACCCTGGGTTTTGTCTCGTCCGCAAAACTTCAGGGCCCCGGGAATCTCTCTGAGCAGGTCCACTCTCCGTTATCAGTTTATCTCCTAATTTCTTTTGAGACACAGTGGTTTATGAAGCTAAGTGCCCCTAGTGACAGCCATACAGAAAGAAGGGACAGACTGGAAGGCCACAGTGTTGTCACCTGCCTGGGCTGGAGTCGGGGTTGGGAGGGACCTGAGAAACAGGATTTGATTAAGAGAGAGAGGTCTGTGGGGCGGGGGCGAAGATTTACAGGATGATACAAAGGAGGCGGCCGGTCTGTGATGAGAGAGGATAAAGGTGACTGTAGGGGTGGGGGTGGGGTTGATGCTCCTTCAAGTTGTGGGCAAGGTGTGGCCACATTCAAACAAGTGTGATGTGGAAGGCAGTCTTTAGCCAAATATCATAGCGCTGGGATCCTAACACTGGTCTGTAAGTCTTTATCTTCTACCTTAAGGTGGGATCTGTTGTTGTTTCACGTGGCGATGCCAAGCTACCTGGCCTGTGAGCTCCCAGGAATTCCCCAGTCTCTGCCTCCCATCTCATTTTATGAGCACTGGGATCGCAGGTCTATACTGCTATGTCCAGCTTTACACAGTTCTGGGGATTTGAAATCGAGTCTTCACAAGTGTACAGCAAGTGCTCTACCCACTAAGCCATCACCCCAGCCCTGCACAGTGTGTGTTAAATAACACCACCTTGAAGGTTCTGGAAGCAAGTAGAAATGGGCATACACGGGGGAGACACTATCGTTGGCAGAATAGGAATCCAATGCGCAGAGTTTGCATGATGGGGACTTTTGCTCTGAAACTGTTCACCAAGCCAGAAGCAGTTTGGAGTGACAGAGGAGAGGGTTGTCATCTGGAAAATCAACCAGAAAACAAGGACAGACACACAGACACACAGAAACAGAGAACAGGAGAGAGAGAGAGAGAGATGGAGATAGAGGCTGACGTGAGCCCTTATATCCCCCAAAGTCTTGGTTAACCGTGGAGCCTCATAATCTCAGAGGCCAGAGGAGGGTGCCAGATCCCCTGAAACTGGAGTTAAGGACAGCGGTGGGCTGCCATGGGTTTGCTGGGAACAGGACTGGGGTCCTCTGCAAGAGCAGCCAGTGATCTTCATCACGAAGCCTTTGCCCAGCCCATGCCACCCAGCCAACATGGCTTCCTTATAGAAAGACTGCCATGCTCAATAGAAATGATGTCACACAGTCACAACACAAACGTTAGGATGCAGATCACCAAAAGTGGCATTTATCTTCCTTGTTGGCACTGGAATGGCAACAGAGAGGCCTAGGGAGAGGCTTGGGTGGGAAGTCTCAGTTCTCAGGCTGCAGAGGTTTAGCCTCCTCTCCCTGCCCATGGTGTGGAGGCAGAGCTCCTGTAAGGTCGGGGAGGACTCTGTGGAGGGAGATGTCTCACTCTGTAACCAGTCACCACACAGCCCAGCAAGTCTTTTGTTAACAGAAGTTTCTGTCCCGTCTAGTCCCGCGGCTGTTTATTCCCAAATGAACACACAGAAGCTAATATTAATTAAGAACGGTTTGGCTAATGGCTCAGGCTTCTTGTTGGCTAGCTCTCTCTTAATTATTAACCCATTTCTATTAATCTATGTATCTCCACTTGTTCTTGGCTTACCCGTGATGCCCGGGCCAGTTTCTTCCTCAGCAGCTACATGGCATCTCTCTCACAACTCACTCTCTGAGTCCCTCTTCCCAGCCTCCTTCTAGTCTAGTAACCCTGCCTACACTGCCTGCCTGGCTACATCCTGCCTGACCATTGGCTAAAACAGCTTTATTCATCAACCAATAAGAGAAACATTCACAGCACACAGAAGGACACCCCCCATCAAGGTATGACCTAAAAGGATTGAAAGTGGGGCTCAGCCCCACCCCTATAACAGGTGTTCACAGTGCATGGCATCCAAAAGGCAGATGCCGCCCAGGTGTCTGTCAACAGACAAATAGATAAACAAATGCAGTTTAAGCACAAGAGGGAATATCACGGGGTCTCAGAACCTCAGGAAATGCTCATGCATGCTGGGTCACGGAAGAACTTCGAGAACATGATGCCAAGAACGACTCAGATGTGAAAGGAAGAAACATTGTGGTTCTATGTGTTTTATTATTGTTTGTTTGGGGTTTTGATACATAGCCCTGTTGTCCTGGAACTCATTATGTAGACCAGGCTGGCCTGGAACTCATTATGTAGACCAGGCTGGCCTGGAACTCACAGAGATCCTCCTGCTTGTCTACCTCCTGGGATTAAAGGCATGTGCTACTACACACACAGTTTACGACCCTACTTGTCTGAGGTCAAGTTCATGAAGACAGAAAACAGACCGGCAGGGGGAGAGGGGCATTGCAGGAGGTGGGGAGAGATGGGCAGCTAGTGTTTTATGGTGATAGAAGAGAAATCTGAAGATGGATGGTGGAGGAAGTCACCCAGAAGGTGGGAGGGGTTAGCAATCACACACGCTCACTGCTAAACTATATACAACACAAAAAGGCAGTCATTACATATATTAATGTCATCTCTATTGTAATGTTATAAATACAGTGACAATTTAAGAAGGAATAATTTCAAGTGAACTCTTGGGAGCCCCCAGGGCACAATGGGTATTTTCAGACTGAAATGGCTCCAGGGAAGGGACCCCAGCATCCAGGATCTCAAGAGCAGTTAGATGTCACTCCCCAGCCTGAGGCCACAGGAAGAGCAGCTGTGCCCAGCGCCTGTGGGGAACAGGCAAAGCAGCTAAGCATGATCCCTTGGTCCGCAGGCTGCCCAGGGCGTCTCAAAGCCTGCATTAACTGTCACCAACATGCCCCCTCCAAGCCCACACTGGACATGGACCATATTAACATAGTCATTAGTAGGTAAAATCACCTCATTTCTGCAGCCCCAACATGTAGATACTGCCGCTGCTTTCTGTTGACAAATGGGGAAACGGAGGCACAGAAAAGCCTACCCCACTTACCTAGGTCTCCAGAGCTGCTCTTCATCCCAGCTCCTGTGGCCTCCCTGAGGCAAGCAGAACTTCATCAGAGGACTTCCCAAAGGAACGGGGGATTCGCTGGATCCCTTCGTGTTTGGGAGAGGTTGGGCCTCACCAAGGCTACTGTGACTCCCTCGCAGTGAGCACAGTCCCCGGAGCCCTCATGTGCCACAGGCTGGAAAATGTCTGCTGTTTCCCAGAGGAAGGTTGGGGCTCCCTGGCCTGATCTAAGCAGAGAAGGGAAGTCAGGTCTGGCTGGTCGAAACAACTTCGCCCCCAAACCTAGAGATGCTCATCCAGGGCCAGCTGGTACCTGGAAATATCTAGAAGTGGTTTTGACAGTTCTGGCTTGAAGGGGCGATAATCAGGTGGACATAGTGGCCTGGGATGCTCGGAAGCGTCCTTCAGTGCATGGGACAGCCCCATGACAGAACCATTGGTCTCAGAAGCCCACTTTTGTGGGGTAGGAAACCCTGAAGAAACCCCGGATGGTGGCTAAGGGCCAGCAGGGCACCGCTGTGTTAGGTTTTATCATTTCCCCCGAAGTCTGAAAATACACACGTCAGCCTTGGCAGGCCCCAGGCGGTGAGAACACTGATGGGTTTTATTTTCTTCTCCTTGGCAAGATTGCATGTTCTAAATTGTCACGGATGAATATGCATCTGCCTCACAACCTAATGAGTTTCTGTTCCTTAGATGGTCCCTGAGCTCTGGGTGTGAGAACCCCGTGGGGTCACCAATTCAAGAGTTGATGTGATGGGTCTCACCCCAAGGGGAGACCTGAGACCGAGGGTCAAAGGTCTGGCTCCGCCTGCAGCCATACCTCTGTGAGACTCTTTCTCTGTGAGCTTGGTTCCTTGTCTGCCCGTCTGTCCACAGCGATGGCGATCCTCACGCCAGTCCAGATGCCACCACGGAGCTGAGTTTTTATACGTGTTAATTCACTTCAGCTCCCAGAGAGCCCATGAGATTGGCTTCTGATCTCGGAACAAAGGAGAGCCTGCTGGAGGTCGGTGCAGGCTGGCACACGGAAGGCTACAGAAGACCCCAGCTCAGCCTCAGCTTCCCCAGAGGATTGATTGCCAAAAGCCTGATCTCACACTGGCCGGAGTCGGACCGTGGAGTGGGCGAACTGACTTGGTAAACACAGAGGCCAGCACCACCCACCTTCTACAAGTCTCAGCTGGGAGCTGGCTAATTAACTCACCCTCAGCACTCAGAACACGCTGGTTTGCAAGTTCACTTTTCTGCCCTGACCGTGATCTATCCCCAAACTAGGTCATAGAGAAATCCCCTGTAAACCCTCTCTCATACCTGCCCCACAGGCACCACTCGGGCTGCTCCAGTTTGGGCCACCTGGGCTGAAATTCATGCTGCCCAAGTGAATATGATTTCCTCCATTTCTCCTTTAACAACAGTTAAATAAAAGCTTGGTGCGCAGGTGGTCTTGACTCCCATAGGCCCATGCATAACTTAGCAGCTTCACTGCACGTTGGTTCTGGGAGGTCAGCGCTGAAGGAGCGCGCCATCGTGGCTCCTGCCCAGGGCACAGGGGGAATCTGACAGAGGGTTGAAATCCCAGCCCAGCCTCTTACCAGCTGGGGGAAACTCCACACTGAGCCTCCAGCCCTTATCACAGGGTGACAGTTGCCAGTCTCACATCGGAGGGAGGTGGCCCTGTGAGGTCACTGACAGCCTGGGCATGCTTGCTTTATGTGTGATCACCATTCCTGGTCGCATAGGGCACTCTGCTCTTAACCCGTCTGCGCCTGGCGTACTTTTGACCTGGAAGCTTGCAGGGTGCAGGGATGGCCACAGTTTGCACGTTAGAGGCCTGAGAAGGGATTTCAGGTACGGGATGGTCCATGGTGTAGCTTCCAAAGCCCTCAGCAGGTCAGAGTTCACCTGATCCTCACAGTGCCCAGAGAGGCACCACCCAGCTGTTGATTCCCATATGCCAGTGGTTCTTAACCTTCCTGGTGCTGCGACCCTTTAATAGTTCCTCGTGCTGTGGTGACCCCCAACCATAAAATCATTTTCACTGCTACTTCATAACTGACTTTGCTACTGTTATGGATCACGATGTAAATATCTGATATACAGGATATCTGATATGTGACTCCTGTAAGAAGGGTCAGTGGATCCCTCAAAGGGGTCAGAACCCACAAGTTGAGAGCCTTGCTTTATGTGGATGAGGAGCTGATGGCACACACGACTAGAAGAGAAACTCCACGACGCTGCTCCTTCTGTTTACACAACTAGAAGAGAAACTCCACGACGCTGCTCCTTCTGTTTATACTGTCAGACAAGAGCCCAAGAATCGGCTGGTGAATGGTAAAACGCTTGCCTCCCTGGTACAAGAGATGGGGTTCAGTCCCCGGAATCCACACAAAAAATGCCAGGCACTGTGGTGCACACTTGTAACCTCAGCCCTAGAGAAGCAGAGACTGAGGACCCCTGGGGCTCACCCACCAGCCTGCCTGAGCTAGTGAGCTCCAGACCAGCGAGAGATCGCATCTCAAAGAGTTCCTGAGGCTGGCACTTGAGGTTGTCCTCTGTCTCTCAAGCACACCCCACATTCATGCACCTGCACAAATTTGTGCCCCCATGTGCATATGTACATACACCCACACATTAAAACAAACAAGAACCTCTTCCAACTGGCTCAGCACCTGTGGAGGTTTGAATAAGAATGGCCTCCAAGGGGAGGGAGAGGGAGCTGGGATTGACATGTGAAGCAAACTTGTTTCTAATTTAAATAAAAAAAATAATAAAAAATAAAACCATATTCAAAACAAAACAACAACAAAAAGAATGGCCTCCATAGACTTATACATGATGCTCAGTCACCAGGGGGTGGAACTGTTTGAAAGGATTAGAAGGATTAGGAGGTGTGGCCTTGTTGGAGGAGGTGTGTCACTGCGGATGGGCTTCGAGGCTTCAAAAGCCCGAGCCAGGCCCAGTCTCTCTCTCTATCTCTCACTCTGTGTCTCTGTCTGTCTCTGTCTCTCTGTCTCTCTGTCTGTCTGTCTCTCTCTCTCTCTCTCTCTGCTACTTCTCCAGCAACACTCCTGGCATGCATGCTGCCATGCTCCTCACCATGATGCTAATGGACTGACCTCTGAAACTGTAAGCCAGCCCTAATTAAATGCTTTCTTTTATAATAATTGCCTTGGTCACGGTGTCTCTAAACAGCAATAGAACAGTGACTAAGACAGTGCTCCTCCCTGGAGACGAACAGTGACTAAGACTGTGCTCCTCCCTAGAGACGAACAGTGACTAAGACAGTGCTCCTCCCTGGAGACGAACAGTGACTAAGACAGTGCTCCTCCCTAGAGACGAACAGTGACTGAGGCAGTGCTCCTCCCTGGAGACGAGCAGTGACTGAGACAGTGCTCCTCCCTGGAGACGAGCAGTGACTAAGACAATGCTCCTCCCTGGAGACGAACAGTGACTGAGGCAGTGCTCCTCCCTGGAGACGAGCAGTGACTGAGGCAGTGCTCCTCCCTGGAGACGAGCAGTGACTGAGACAGTGCTCCTCCCTGGAGACGAGCAGTGACTAAGACAGTGCTCCTCCCTGGAGACGAAGCCCTGCCAGGCCCCAGGAGGAGCTGTACTTTGAAACGGGGAATAGACACCGTGGAACAGATGCCTAGCACCTTCCCACTGTGACCAGTGATGAGGACCCTCTGCATCCCTCTGCAGGGAGCACTGCATGCACCCCTCGGGCTGCCACGTGCGCAGCACTCCAAGCAAAAGATACTCCTGTGGGTGTCAGCTGCTGTTGCCTTTTTATCTTGCTCAAGCATGCCTGCCTCCTGTCACTTGTCACCAGGTTACAGGCACTGTCAAAAGCATCTGTTCTCACCATGTTCCTCTCCCTTTCTGCTGTTGGGAGCATCAGGTGCAGGATGAGGAAACTCAGCTCCCATGCTCTCAGGGACCCCTCCATCCCAGTGGAAGGGGGAGAGTGGACACCTGGGAGGAGCACCACCCTCCTCTAGATCACCACACTCCTGTAGATCACCCTCACCAAATCCAACTGCTTAGTGAGCCAGACAGCAGCACCAGCGCTGGCCTTCACTGGCGTCCGTCAAGGTCCGCCAAGGGTTGGCCTGAGAGCCTGAAGCACCAGAGCAAACACTGCCTTACATCCTTACCTTTCCCAGATCTGTGTTCCAGAGCCTTCCATCCAGGAGGGAATCTCAGTCCCCATTAACAGAAGCCAGGGGGCAAATGAAAATATGAACACAACCTGGAAAGGCTGTGGTGGGGAAAGTTGTGGGATGGCTCAGCAGGTAAAGGCGTCTGCCCCTAAGCCCAACGACCTGAGTTCAATCCCCAGGGACCCACGCGGCAGAAGAAGGGAACCGACTCCCACATGTTGCTCCTAGACCTCCATGCACGAGCTGGCATGCAGACACCCATACGCCACACACCCACAAACAATTAAATAAGTGTCTTAGAAAAAGAACGGGGGTATAGCAACTTCCCTCAGTTGTCTAAGGGATTCAGACACCCCCAGATTCTATCCACCAGTCAAGCAAATGTTCCAGCCATACAGGGGAACATCATTCGGAATGGAATATTGGCGCAAGCTACGGTACCATATGAATGACCAGTAAGGGACGAAAGGACACGGCATGTCACACACTGCATGATTCTGTTTACATGAAATGTCCAGAATATGTCAGAGGAGAGGCCATGGAGACATGGGGTTCTGTGGCTGCCAGGGACCAAGGAGAGGCGGGAGCTGGGAGGAGCTGGGTGGCGGGAAGAAGCTCACTTGGGGAATGACTGTGGCTTAGAAGCAGACAGAAGTAGCACGTGGGAATGGCTTACGTGCAGGCGTACAATGGCAGTGGTCTAGTGGCCAAACACCAGCAGGAGCACCTGAGGGAGAAGAGTTTACAACCTTTGAGGCCATGGATCAGGAGACACTGTCCATCATGGTGGCAGACACGGCGGAGCCAGAAAGGAAACCTACTGCTGGGTTGGAAAAAAAAAAGAGGCCTAGACCCCTGCAAAGCCTGCCCCTACATTCCCATAGCAACCAGCTACAGTCCATATCCAGAGATTGCACAACCTCCCAAAACAGTGCCACCAGCTGGGGACAGGATACCCAAATATGAGAGCCTGTGGGGACCGTCGCATTCAAGTCATGGTAACTGGTATTACACTCTGTAAAGTTTATCTCAAACTTTTAGAGAGATTCAACTGTTAAGAGTTTAAACTTTTTTCTTATGTATTTATCTAATTGTGTGTGTACATACATGCATGTGTGTGTATGTGTGTAATTCTCATGTTCCTTTATATGTGCATGTATATATGCCTGCATGCGTACATGCCACATTACACATATGGAAGTCAGAGGTTGGTTCTGTCCTACCATGTGTGTCTTAGGAACTGAGCTCGGGTCTTGGCAGCAGGCGATCGTCTCCTTGGCCCTTTGTTAATGACATTTTAAGCACAGTGGGTCATCTCTAAGCTGAAAGGAGCAAGAAGGGCCCAGAGAGGGCAGGACAGGGAGGGCCCATGGGTCTGGTTGGCTCCACAGGCCAGCTCCAGCCAAGCTTGGCGCAAGGCAGCCTTGGTCCCAGCTCAGGTTGGTGTCCAGGAAGCCTTATGCCAGGGGGAAGAGATGATATTCTGTTGCGGAGGAAGGGAGATGGCAGCTTAGAGGACAAAACTCCTACATGTGGGAAGTGAGGTTGACCTACAAGCCGGCAGGTAGAGGGGTCACTGGTCTCCCACCCTGGCCTTTGTGTCACACTGAAGCTATGAGATGCTCAGCCCATCCCATCAGACAAACAGATGCTACGCAGAACACATAATCGGACCCAAGTGCCCCGCTTGCCCAGCCAGAGCTTGGCCTGGATGGGCCTGTGGTCCTAAGGAGACCAATGTGACCTAGGGGCTTCCTGAAATCTTTGTGTGGAGTCATTGAGCTAGGTCTGGAGAGGAGTGGTCATGGTTCTGGGGCGCCAGCTGACCCAGGTGGAGGTGGGGAGTTGCCACAGAAGGCTCCCTAGCAGTACAGGGAGTGGTGTCACACGTCCGTAATTCTGCACATGGAGGCTAAGCCAGAAGCTGTTTCCAGAAGATGTAAAGCAACCAGGAAGGAAACAACAGAAGGCTGCCATCCTCTCTCTCTCTCTCTCTCTCTCTCTCTCTCTCTCTCTCTCTCTCTCTCTCTCTCTCTCTCTCTCTCTCACACACACACACGCACACACAGACACGCACACACGCACGCACAAGCACATACTTGTACCCACAAGCATAAGCAAATATGCACCCCACACAAACACGGATGTGCCCTGTGAAGGGGCCTCTCACCGCCTGGCTCATGGTTTCCCTGCACACTGCTTGGCACAGGAGAACCGGCTGACACAAACTTGTTTTTCCAAACTTTTATCCTTTCCAGGTAACACTCACATCCTTTACTGAAGCAACACACACACACACACACACACACACACACACACACACACACACACGGAAATGTGAACGTCACAGACCTACACTGGCTGGTCACAGGGTGAGTTTGTCTGGCTAGACCCAGGTCAAAAGCAGTAAACCAAGCCTGTGACCCTGGCCCTTGGGAATTGAGACATGAGGATCAGGAACTCCAGGCTGTTCTCAGCCACTAACAAGTTTAAGGGCAGTCTGTCTCCTAAGTAAACAAGTAAGAAAAACTGAAAATGGGGCAGCTGTAGTGCACACTTTTAATCCCAGCACTGGGGAGGCAGAGGCAGGTGGATCTCTGTGAGTTCGAGGCCAGCCTGGTCTACACAGAGTTCCAGGACAGCCAGGGCTATGCAGAGAAACCCTGTCTCACAAAAAGAAAGAGGAAGGAAGGAAGGAAGGAAGGAAGGAAGGAAGGAAGGAAGGAAGGAAGGAAGGAAGGAAGGACCAGCTAGGCCTGGGTCTTCCTCCCTCCTCCCTCCTCTGTCCTCCCTATCCTCCCTCCTTTCTGAGGACAACCGTGTTATTGATGTCCATGACAACCATGATCTTGCCAGTTTTAAACTTCACTTTAATAGCTTTATGTTTATATTGCATCTATATTAACTGGTTATATATTGATAAGGGCGGGACTCTTCTATGTCGCTCTGCTCACCGATTTTTGAAGTCTGTCTCGTTGTTGTTGTAACTGGCCCCATGCCGTTTAGACTGGGAACCCGCCAGGGGCTTTTGAGCTCCCTGAGAAACTTCTCTGGAGGGGGGTTGCCGTCCCCACTCCTTTCAGACCCAAACATGCTGTCTCACAGTGTCCTGCAGCAGAGCCCCTTGTCTAGGGACGGGCTGCACCCAACTCTGTGACCGTGGGAGACAGTAAAACGGTCCAAGAGACGCCTGCATCCCGGAGAGAAGCTGGCAGGTCAGCCGCTCCCCACAGGGGTCACCAGTGGTGCTGTGAGAGACCCTGCAGCCCGAAGGAGAAGCTGCAGACTTCGCCACGGAGAGAAGGCTCAGTCGGGGACTCCAGCTGATGCCTCAGCTTGCCCGGTCCGTTTCGCTGGATATCACAGCGTTTTCTCTGTTGCTGTTCGCTCCTTTACTTCAGAGCCCCACCTGTGGGGACTCTGCTCCCCTCTCTTTATTGGGCGCTCCAGCCTTAAAGGGGCATCCTTTCTGATGAATGATT